ATTTTGCATTGAGTTGGTAGCTATATAAGTTGATGTATAGAAACTTAATTGGCAATGTCAGCATAATACAGTTTCAAATTCTTTATAAAGTTGAGAAAGTATTAAGAAGAGAGAGAGAGAGTATATATATGTGTATGTCTGTATGTATACAGTGTTTCAATTTGTTAGATATTTGATGTCATAGGAACCTAGCTTAGTAAAATAAAACATTACAATCTATGAATCTTCTCAAGTAAAAGTCTGATGGGTAAAACAAAATATACAACTGATACTAAAATTTCATATGGTACACTTTTTTTTTATGAAGAATAGAGAAAAAAGTGTATCAACTTATTAATGTTAAAAAAAGAGAAACGTGTCAAAATGATTCCTTGACTCTTTGTATGGGGTTATTTTAGTCTCATAGTCTACAAAAGTATTAATTTACTCCTCAAACGCTTTTAACGAGGGCTAAAATAGTCCTCCATGGGATTATTTCAACCCATATTAAAAGAATTTAGAGACTAATTTGAACCCTTCTATAGATTTTTAAACTAAAATGGCCCCATATAAATACTCATGAGACTATTTTGACACTTTAAGCACTGAATAAATGTCCAGAAAAAGGTTGATGAACCAATATTACCTGTAAAAAGCTATCATATCAACTTCACTATTTTCTGCTTCTGTAGATCCAACTGTTGGATTTAGTCTATCATCGATGAAGCTGTCGTCGTATCTGTCATCTATTCCATCACCAAGCTCATCCTCCGAAATAGATGCATCATCGGACACCCTAAACAGCAATGAGTTGTGTATAACAGTATTGAACAATACAACCATGTCAAAATAAAAAAAAGAGGAACAAATGAATATGAATTAAGAAGCATAAATGACATCAATATCCAGTAAGAGAAAAATGTCAAAACGATCCAGAGACTCTTTATAGGAGATCATTGTAATTCCAGAGTGTATAAAAATGTCATTTTAGTCCAAGAATTCTTTTAATATGGGCCGAAATAGTCCACACACAGAATTATTTCAACACATTAAAAGAACTCAGGGACTAATTTGATACTTTTATAAATTATGGGACAAAAATGGTTTCACGTAAATAGTCAAGGGACCATTTTGATACTTCACTCTAATCGGTAATTAACTTCTTATTTACTCAAACTCACGAAGATTAGCATCTTACTCAGCTTCCTCCTCAATGAAGGCATCAACACGTCTTACTGCTTTTTCTTTCCCATCTACATTTACAATGATTGTCACTTTAACAATAAGAAATTCTTCAGCAGCGTAACACAGTGAATTGTGTCGTAGACTTTCTGTGAACCATCTAGAAAGCAGGGAGGCATTTACATACATGGCACACAATTCTAATGTTTTTACATATCTCACACCTAAACTTTCATATTTACACACAGCACATCTTTAATATCACATCAAAAATAACACTATTGCCACTTTTTAAAAGTGCAATACATCTTTTCATGCATAGGTTTAAAGCACCAAAGTTCTATGCATGTAAATATTAAAGTTTAGGTGTGAAATATGTAAATACATCAGAGTTCTGTGCAAGGTATGTAAATTTCCCATAAAAATATAGAATTAAACATGAAGAATGAAATACGTATACATCTTACCATAGCCATGATTTAATTTGTCATCCTGAATATTCATGGTGCTGCCACAGGTTTTCTCAACCAATTTAAACTTTTTGTGCAAAGTCCTGGCAGGAAGGTTTCTGACTACATCTCCATGTTTGCGTAACCGCTTATATTTACGAGCTTGAAAGAACGAAACTGAAGCTTCTCCAGAATCACACTTCCAATCCTCACTTGAGCTGAGTTTCATAGTCTTAGGAGTATGAACTGCCTCATTTATTGCACAGGCAATGTTACTACCACTCATAGTTTCAAGCATGTTGTTTGTTACTCCTTTTGTTTCCTTCACACACACGCCAGTTTCTTTTGACAGCACGCTAGACATATCAACAATATTAGGCCGAGCAATGAAAGGAATACGTGAATTATTTTCACAAACAGCGTCAAATACAGCAGTAGAATGTGATGCTAACCCATCACTTGAAAGCTTATTTGTATTTATCGGGCCATGACATTTATTATCTTTATCATGCTCCAAATTGTAGCTTGAAAAACGGCTTTTTTCGACAGTCGGTGCACGATGATCGACGTTTAGAACTGGAGACTCAGGAACGATTCCTTCCTGGATGAAATGAGTCAGCCTGGGACTCAGCTCAGTAATGATTGGTTCATTTCTCGATCCACCAACAGATGAAAGCAAAACAACTTCCTTATCACTATTTGTTCGAGACACGGGTTCATCAGATTCTCGATATTTTGGCTTACAGCCCGGTGATTTAAATACATGTTCCACATCCTCTGGCATGTTTTGGATCACTTGAATGAATGAACTAGATGGTGGTCCATTAGGATCTTCCACCTCTATGGTTGGCTTTTCGGATACCTTGGGGCTTGTGTACTTAAATTTAATACCTTTATTTAATAAATTGTTTCCATTCGAGATATCTTTGTAATATTTGGATCCGTTGTGCGGAAGAACAGGAACATAAGTAATGAGAACGCTTCCTGAGGGGTTTAGGATTACAGAACCTTCGCTGAAGAGGAAGTGATGAGGTTTTGTCTTCTGGACATCAGGGTGAGGACCAGGAGAACCAACTTCGACCTCCAAAGCTTTGTCGGTGGGTTCTTGAAATGGGGCACCATCAATGTCGGCGGTGCAATGGAAAACAGAGTCTGAAATAGAATGCATGATTTATCTCAATTATTTGCTCTGGATTAAAGATTTGTTTGATTTAATTTATGTAAAATTAGGGAATTTTAGATAGTACAGATTTTAATTTTGATTTGAATTTATATAGTAATCATTATTTTTCATAAATAGAGTAGCCTGCCTTGTAATAAATCAATGAATGGAATGAGAATGATTTAAAATCTGAGTTTTCTAGTGGCCTTCCCTTTTTGGATTGCCAAGAACAATCTCTATAAGCGCTTTAAGATAAAAACAAACTATAGAAAAAAATAATGGAAAATAAGACTGATTTTTCAAAAACAACCAAGCTGCTAAACAAAATAACTACATGAAAGTGAATGCTCTTGGCTGAAAATCATTTGCTATAATATAATCAAATTTATTAACGGTTCTTCAAATTGAGAGATCTGAAGAAACTTTATTTCATTAGACAATATTAAACTGAAAGTTTTAGGTGGCAAATATCAATTCAATATGAATATGGAATATTTAATGATAGACCATCAAGAACCAGTTCTATTGAGTTCCATTATTTTGTGCAGCCATTTGTATGAGCAGTATAAAAATTAGATTAAATTCACATATTAGTTTTTTTGAGATAGAAATGCATTAATATTAGGGTGGAAGACATACCCAGCTCCCTAGAAACATTACTATTTAGAAATCTAGCACCCTCTTTCAACCATTTTTCGGATTCTCACTGAATTATCAAAATTCATGATAAAACCCAAACCAATAATTTTTATTTTTATCAAATTCTCAATGGTTTGATCATGGCACGCGTAAATGCATCGATTCAGTGGTCAAAAATATCATTTGGGTTCTAAATTTCATAAATATCAATGCTTAAGGTTCTATACATGTAATTACCTCTAAATATTAATATTTAGGTTGTCTGGTAACTAATCACGAGATAATTTTTTTCACATTTCAACCAAACATGTTGACCAAAAATAGAAAGCTAAATATCTTGTCCAATATTACCGTGCGATGACGTAAATTCATCGTGTTGCTGCCTTGAGATCTCAACCTAAACAAAAGCGATTTGACAATTTTAAGCATCCACTGAAATAAGTTGGGGAAATTTACATATGTAGAACACAATTCTTATGAATTTACATAACTTAAACCTAAAATTCCATATTTACATACAGAGCACTTCGGTGCTTTAAGCCTATGCATGAAAAGGTGTATTTGTCTTTTAAAAAATGATAATAAACTATTTTTGATACAAAATTGAAGCTTTGAGTGCTATGTGTGCAAATAAGAAAGTTTAGATGTGAGATATGTAAATACATAAAAATTGTGTGCTATGTAGGTCAATGCTACAAATATTTAACAAACAGTTGAAATATCAAAGTACCTCAATAAAACCATCTCCATTTACTTTAGAAATTGTGAGTCCTTGAAGATGTTGCATGGCGTCAATGAACATTGATGTCGTTTTGAACGAATGTTTCACTCTACTTACTTGAGATGGAAACGTTTGAAAGCTGGGAAAGGCGATGAGAGATGGTTTCCACATAAAAACTTCGGACTGAGGAAAGTACTTTGAGATTAGATTTAGTTCCTCAACAGATACATTTCTTGTAGGTTGTGATCTATCTATGGTCGCATTCTTCGCATTCTTTCCACGAGGAATAAACTGTTCTATTGACATTTCAAGATACTGAACTTGTGGTTTACACATATGTGGAACCTATAAGAGAACAAATACAAATTTTCAAGGTTGTTAAAAAGGGACCACACACAAACCGTAAGAAGATGTTCAGGGTTCAATGGTTCAGCAGGGATTGAACCGAAAGTTGAACCGAATGAATCGATAAATATATAAATTATTTTAAAATAATTAAATAATATATTAATAATATATTAATATTATTTTATCAATTGAACAAATAATATTTTAATTTAATATCAATTGAACAAATAATATTTTTTAATAATATTCTAAATCAAAATTTTGAGGCATGATATTTTTTCATTTTTAATTTAAATATCTTATTTCTAGCAATCTGATCAAAATCGAAAGGCTAAAATTAGACAATATTTAAACCAATCGGTTCCTAAAAAAACAGATTGGTTTCCTGGCTCGTCGATTCAACTCAGTTCTGATTGGCTCAATCTCAATTCCATGCATAAAAAGTTTTGAGCTTGAATCGAAACGATCGGTCCAATCCAATTTTTAGAACCATGCAAATTACAATCAATTACTTTCAATGAAATTCAATAGTCATTGATTGTATAATGATCTTACCATTCGAGGACTAGGATGGAAATTAAAGCTTTTGATTCCTCCATTATGCATATGCTTCCTCATAGCTTTACTGCTAGCTTGTTTCTTCAAATATGCCTTCAACTCAGACCCTTCACAAGCTAGAATAAGTACTTGTGTCAAAGAAAATCTTCCATAACTATGAAAAAAATTCCTGAATAGAATTCACTGAATAATAGCATAATCTAATTGCATGAGAAAAGCGTCAAAATGATATAAGTCATATTAGTCCCAGAGTCTATAATGGTGTCAATTTAGTTCCGAGTCTTCTACTAGGAGCTAAAATAGTCCCCCTGAGGACTATTTCAGCCCATATAAAAAGAGTGTGGGAATTAAACTTACACTTATATAGACTCCGAAACTAAAATGGCCCACTAAAAAAAATCAGAACATCTTAGCAATTTACTCAGAAATGCATGATATGCAAGTGGCTAATTTGAAGAGAAATTAAAAAAGACCACTTTTCATAGCTATGCAAAGCTATGGCAACAAAGGATATCAACTCGGCCATCATTCTTCCTTCCAGTTCGTCCCATGCGCTGGATCATTCTAAGGGGTGATACATTGGCATCGAAGCAGACGACGAGGTCAACATCCATGATATCAAGACCTTCTTCACCTATTGATGTTGCAACAATGACATTGTATCCACCAGAACGAAATTTCTGTAGAAATAAAACTGAAAAATCAATTATTGCACAAAAACTATAAAAAAAAAGGAAATTTATATATGCAGCACAATATTCATGTGTTTACAAATCTCACACCAAAACTTTCATATTTACATATCACTTTGGTGCTTTAAAGCTATGCAAGAAAATGTGTATTTCACTTTCAAAAAGTGGTAATAGTGTTACGTTTGATGTGATGTTAAAGATTTGAGTGCTATGTTTGTAAATATGAAAGTTTAGGTGTGAGATATGTAAATACATAAGAATTGTGTGCTATGCATGTAAATGCCCCACATTAATAATAATAAATAATAAGACAATAATGAAACCTCTAAAACTGCTTGCTGCACTTTCTGAGTCTGCCCTTTCAAGGTTTTCCCTGAAAAAATATGGTGGAATATAAATAGAAAATGAATATAAGCTTAAACAGATACATGACTTATATTTTGATAACAGAAGGAAATCTGAAGCTTCATTTGACATGCTTTTCTTCGATTTGAATTTTTTAAAGCAGTGACAATTTTTTATATACAGAAAACGCTCTATACTGCTATTACATCACCATAGAGTTACAACCATGGAGAAAAACACTTACAGACCAACTTGTTCATCTTTGTATGATAGGACTAAGGGTGTAAACGAGTAAAGTCGAGGTCGGGCCACCCTCGGCTTGAGTTTGAGTTTGATTAATTAATCAAACTTGAGTTTATGTCAGAGTTTAAGCCGGCTTGTTTATTATAAAAGAGATAATAATATTAATTCAAGCCAACAATTATGAGATAAAAAATAAAAAATTAGATAGTATAAAATATAAAATATCTTTTTTTTTAATATTTTTAATAATTTAAAGGTAAGGACATGAATTTTAATATATTTTGAGTATATGTTATATTAATATTTTTTTTAAATAAGCGGCTTACAAGCTAAAGAGTCAAGTTGTGACTGGCTTGAGCTTGGCTTGTTAACATCGAGCTTAGCTCATGAGCCACTTATCAAGCCAAGCCAAGGCTGGCTCACGAGTCAGCTTGGCTCAATTACGCCCCTAGATAGGACTGTATTTGTACAAGACATCAGTAACAGAACAATACCAAATCAAGCCACAAACAGACTCATAGCCGCTGATGCAGGTTGTAGAGGCTTTCCGAATTTGAATTCATATAAGCCAAAAGTGAATGCCAATTACAGTTAAAAAAAACAACAAACCTGAGCTTTGCCCTATAAACTCCGTGGCTTTAATCATGTCCCTTAGGCTGGATAAATAATTCATTATATCTCTGAAATTATTGCAAGAAAATCAATCAAATTTCATTCCAATAACATGGGCAGCATTAGGTTGAAGCTGAGCGGTAGAAAAATAAAGGAAAAAATGACAAGGATGCCCTGCATGCAAAGTTCTAACGCAAGAAAAACACGTATAAATAACTGGAATTCACAAATTGATGCGTATAGGCTGCATACAGAAGAACATACTTCACCCAAGAAGACAATAGATTAAAGGAAAATTTACATACGTGGCATACAATTCTTATGTATTCACATATCTAACGTCCAAACTTCCATGTTTATATACATAGCACTATAGTGCTTTAAACTTACACATGAAAAAGTGTATTTCACTTTTAAAAATTGATAGTAAAGCTATCTTTGATGTGATATTAAAGATTTGAGTCGTAGTGTGTAAATATGAAAGTTTAGGTGTGAGATATGTAAATACATAAGAATTGTGCGTTTTGTATGTAAATGCCCCTAAATTTTATATTAAATGTTGATCGGTAATTATTAAAGCAATCAAACACCAAAAGAAAGTCATGAATGATGAAAAACAAAAAAAATGTGCGCTTGAATTTGAACTTTACCTAACACTTCCCCTGAAGTTTGAGAAAATTATAACCCTTGAGTCACTGGGATTTTTTGTTTCTGGATATCAAGAGAAATTAAAATTCATTCATTTCGCCATATCATTTTAGCACGAATTTCAACAGCAAGAATTCAATATATCATATAAACATAAAGAAAAATGGAAGAAATTAAGAACAAGGAATATATATCAGATTGGAGAATCACATTACTGAGAGAGAAAATAAAAAAGTAGGCTGCAATGACGTTGCATTGAATAAAAGTTCATTCAGATGGAAAAAAAAGATGATTGCAAACAATTAGAGGCGTCATGCACATTTGCATCCTCTAGTTCCAGCTTATCACTCTGCATCTAAGACATTAATTGTTATGGAATCTCCTGCTACATGTGCTCCTTGTTCATAAGTTGAGGTTGTAGAACAAACGTTGAGGTTGTAGAGCCAATAGATAACAACCTTCCCTCTATCTTTGGCATTAAACATGTTCGCATTTTTTTTTTTTTATAATGAGATCTTGGAGCTGGCAATCCCTTTGTATTTCACTATTGTTGGCAAGCTTTCACAGGACCATCCAATCTTGAGATTTCATAGATTCATGCCTAATTTGTGATTGATTTGATATATTTAAATTGAGCTTCTTGATTATTCAGGACATGATACTTTTCATAGTTTTCTGAAGTAGATCTTGAATGGGCTTCTCACAATGATCTTCAAAAGAGTCATCTATATCTTTAATTTAGGTTGGTTTTCCTCTGTTTAGAAGTCATTACTTCAATCAATCCACCATGTTCTCTTGGTTCTATCTTTGAAAGGGTGATTGAAGTGAATGTTGCTATTGTTATGCTCTCAAAGGAATTGCTAAATAAGGTTTTAATTGAAACTGATGTTATCATCCTTTTCAAGGTGATTTGGATGCCCGTAGTTATTGAAATTACATAGAATTTGAAAAAATACGTTTATTTTCTTCTTCCTACAAAATTTGTGGTCACGACTTCACTAAATAGTTCAAAGCTCACCTTGGATTGAGGGAATCATCTTTTGTGGTCACGTAATGTAATCAGCACCTCATCAGCATGCACAACTTTGATCAGAATCTCTTATCATATTAACACCTCATGATCATCCAATTCGGGATATTAATGATCCAGATTACAGCCTTATGACTACTAATAATATTTCTAGTATAGAAAAATATGCAGATAAAATATTTCAAAATTTCTTTTGCTATAAGCAAAATTAGAGGAAAATTTTCTACACCTTCAAGGTTTACTAAACTTCAAGCACGACGCTATAAATGAGAACTCTGGGGGTTCTCCATTTAAGTTAAGGCCCTTCCTTAGTTGCTATCTAGTAATCATTTAGGGCGTATTTTGATTTCTTCTTTGTCAACTAGCAAATCTTTGCAAATGCTTAATGTTGTACTCGATTCATTGAATGATCACAAAATTCTTAGTTCAAAAAAATTAAAGGAACCAATGAGAACTCGATTGAGGAAGATATTTGGTCCTAAAAAAAGCCTATCCTATCTATTATCTTTTGTACAGCTTTTACTTATCATTCAATCCTCCAATATGAACTCAGTTTGTCTTTACACCATATTAATCAAGTGAGTCTTTATATGTCTTATGACAACAAATGATAAATTAATAATTTTCATTTTCAATAAGATTAAGATGTAAGTTAACATACATAAGTGCCATTTAGTAAAAGACTACGAAAAAGAAAAAAAGTTGTGTGTGTGTGTGTATATATATATATATAGACAACAACAACAACAACAAGAAAGCCTTAATCTCACTACGTGGGGTCGGCTACATGAATCATTTTTCTCCATTGCGTCCTATTTAGAGTCATATTTTCATTTAGTTCTAGTAAATTAAGATCACTTTAATACAAGAAGCCCAAGTCTTCCTAGGTCTACCTCTGCCTTTCTTAACACAAGTCGAATCTAAAGCATCTACCCACCTAATCGGATCATCAGATGGTCGACGTACAATGTGACCACACCATCTAAGACGACTTTATATATATATATATATGTATGTATATGTATATTAAAAGAATGATCGGAGGCTATTATACGAGCTCCGTTCATCCCTCATGCGCCTAAGAATTGAAGTACCACACCCTACACTCGGAGGGAATCGAACCACAGATCAAAGGGGACTTACAACTGACAGGCAAATGCCCGACCAACTGTGTGCGCGCGCGTTTCATGGCATGTTGATAGTGCAACCTCTCTGAAGGTCATAAGTCCTCCCAGGTCACGGGTTTGAATCCCCCTCTTGTGTAGAGTGTGCTTCTCGAATATTTATCCCACCTAGGGATGGTCGGGGCTCGTCCAATGCCACCATCTACACCCCCAACTCAGACAAAAAAAAGCAAAGTGCTCCGCCAGAGGCAGAGAATCCATCTGTTCTTGTTCAACCCCAAGTTATTGACACTATTGATCATCAAAATAATACTTCTGAAGATGTCACTATCCTCGCAGACAATATGTCAATCATTCAGTTTTCACACAATATCGTTGCTCCCCCATCTTTGGAACCCTCTATCGTGGGGGCAAAAGAGATTCTTCAGACCCCACCTGCTCTAGAACCTATCACTTATATTACAGGTGGCAATACTTCTACTGCTTCACTACCGTTTCATCAGGTGGAGCAAAATGTTAATGTTACTTAAGTTCATGGGGATCATGATGTGCAACAGCCTACACCTGTCCGACCACCTTTGGAACAATCCATTGATCAGATGAGTCAATCATTGGATGAGGAATGGCAGGTCTACACATCCAGAAGGAAAAAGAAGAATGGAGAACTACTTGAGCTTAGGAATCTGATGGACAATACTTTGGTTACTTCGGGTAATGGTACGCACCTTATCAATCTATTAGTCGGGTCCTTTCCGAGAACTAGAGGCAGAGGGAAGACTAAAGTGGGTCCTTTCCAAGAACTAGTACTTCTGCGCCATTTGGTGGCTTTTTGGTTTTTTATCCTTTTGTATATTTGTTTTATTTGGAGTTGTGTGTTGTATTGTGTGAGTTGGGTCTTTTTTTAAGCTCTCTCATTCAACTTATCTGAATATTTTCCTCTTTAATATATTAGCCCTTGGGTTTTTCCATATATATATATAAATAGTTAAAAGAATGGGTCGAGGCGTGAGGTCCCCAACCCACCCTTAAGTCTGGGGCCAACCTATGCACCTAAATATTTGAGTACCCTCTCCCTAAGGCAACAGTCGCCAAGGGCAGAATTCAAACCTCAAATCAGAGGGGACTTACACCGCTGAAGCAGATGCCCTACCAACTGACCTGGGAACGTGACGCATATATATATATATATATAAGAAAGATCGATTTGTCTTCCTTCAAACCAATAGAAATTGATTATAAAATTAGGCAGTACTATGCATAGTTTGTCATTGTGGAAGCTAAAGCACAACAGTATATTCACTTTAAGAGTAAAAGTGCAGCTCATCTGTGAACTGGTCTTAGTTACACTACTACATATCAAACTAAAGAAGCACAGATGCGAAAAATATGTAACATAAGACATTAGATATGCAATCAGTATATTTTTCAAGTAGGATATTTCCAAAGAATTTAAATCAGATGAAAAAATCCAAAATATCCCCAATACAATGAATACGCTATATTTGATCTAATTTAAAGCGAGGTTCATTCAATAATAAGGCTTCCCAGCAGATAATAAGATAAATGAAAAAAAAAACAAAATTGTTCTTCAACTCTTCTTCTCTATATCCTAGTCAAATTGGCGGACCAGTTTATGTTCAGAATGGGCATTGCCCACCAAAAATTTGAGATTTTTTATATAGGAGCAAAACTTAATATTATTTCTTATATAATTAAGGCAATTTATTTATTTTGCACCCCCCACCCCCACCCCCACCCAATAGATATCCTTTTTGCCCAAAACTTTAAAAAATAAATATTTGGTAATTATGCTCGCCCTAAAAAGCTGGTTCCGCACCCGCTTCTCCAGCGTGCATTGTAGTTGACCAAACCATAAACCTTCTCTCATCAACCAAATCCCTCCCCCACCATTTCTCCCTATTAGTACAAATATACATACACTAAATACAACAGTGTAAACTTCCTGATATGCTTTTAAAAATACGTAAAAGAGTTTCAAGCCCACATGTCGTTTTATTTTATATTTACACTAATAGTTTTTTTCCAAACATCATACGTTCTTATATTGTCAGAGACAAAAATAAAAAATAAAATCCCAGCAACTTTTTTGTTAAAAAGTTTCTTAGAAAACAATCTAGAGGTCAAGCAAAAAACAATGATTAGTATCACCCAAACAAAGATTCAAAATTTTGGCGATAGTTGAGAGTAAAGAACACCAGAATATATGGCAGAATAATCTTAACAAATGAAAACCATTTTAAAGAAATAAATGTGTGTATTTATATGCCTAATCTGATTTTAATATTACTAATACTAGTCCATTCAGACCCTTCATAGCTTAAGGAAGCTGATTACATACCTTTTTACAAACCTAAGAAGTTTAAGTTTTCAAGACAGCATATTATGGTTTTGCAAAAATAAGCATAGCCTATTCTTAAAATCCGAGATAAGGTTAGTACCCATAAAGATGAATACGTGTTACTAAACTTTGTTGAAACATTATTACGCATTTTTATTTTCATTACGCAAGCTGGAAATGATAAATACATTGAAGTAATGCTAAAGAGAAAGGAAGCAGGAAGCAGGTATTACAGATACTTGGAATCAAACTTGGGCTGCTAAAGACATACTGAAATGATCAACCAAAATTTCCAACAACTTAACCATTTTGGGAGTGGGGGCACCATGAGACAAGCTTTGCAGCATCAACTGCTTCGCTTTCCAAAAGACCTCAATTTTAGAAACAAGCTTTGAAAACGACCTGCAACATGTATTTTTCACTTGAAATGTATGGTTATATTTCACATAAAAGTAATAGCATGAAAATCAGGGAAATATAAATTTATTAGTGAACAACCGCATGATGAAAGAAATCTAAATTCCTGTTAACAAAAATCTTCACTTTGATGAAGGAAACAAGTTAGCAGAAAAATTAGGAAAATTTACAAACATACCACTCAATTCCTACATATTTACATATCTAACACATAAACTTCAATTTTTACATAGATGTCACCTTACCTATGCAAGAAAAGATTTAAAAGAAAAAATTCTGGCTCAAAATGATATTAAATGACAAAGAAATAAGAAAGTAATGCCAATAATTCATTAGAGTTAGTGACCAGACAGAAAAGAGAATCGAGACAAAATTAAAAATATATAAAAACCATGTTAGCATGCCATAGACAATTTAAAGCAATCACAATCTTACTCAAACAATATAAAAATAATTCACATACATACCACCCAATTTTTTATGTATTTCAATATCTAACACCTAAAGTTCACTTTTAACCTTTTTACCGCCCAAACTTTCATATCACATCAAAATACTATCATTTTAACATTTAAAAAGTGAAGCACAACTTTTCAAATATTGGTAGTGTGGTATGTATGTAAAATATAAAGTTTAGGTGTTAAATATGTAAACACATAGAAATTGAGTGGTATTAAAGAAAAAAAAAAAAGGAAGCACATACCCATGGTTTAACTTCTCCTGGAGCATCTCATAAGCTGGCCTAATACCATGGCTTGAAAGTAACTTCCTTATGTGATAAAAGGTGATAAGAGCACAAAAATATGCCTCTATTTCTCCATACTTTGAAGAAGGCAAACTATGTGGCGGTGCTTGACGAAATCTATCCCTTAAATGAAGTATTTCGGAAGGACTCAACTGGTTGTGATCAAAGAAAGCATGATTAGAAGATAAATAAAAAAACAATAACCCAAAATCCTACTCCAACCTGAAAAAATGACATTAGATAAAAGCAAACATCGTAAGGACAAAAACTATTGTTAGGCACTTTGTATGATTTTTTCCCTATGGTGCAGTTCTCAAGGCTATCATGCAGTTCATTCAAGCGTACTTCATTGTAAAAACCTCACAAATCCAAGAAATGGTTAAATGGAACTACCGTTATGGTGCTAAACAATATTTACCAACTAATGCAGATTTACAATATTGTTAAAAGCGTTTACAGAGTGTTGCGGAGTCTTCCTATTACTGCAGCTCAGCTAGGATTCTTTGTGTGATTTTTCGAGCTTTTAATCCTATGGCTTTTAATTTGAAACAGGCTGTATTACTTGGATTTCCGATTTTTACAGGCTCTAAAGCTGCTCTGTTCTGTTTTGCCCACCAGCAGGGTTTACATGTGTACACAGCTTGCTCAGATAATGAATTTCCTATTCGACGTGAGATGAAGCATTGCTTCTCGGTTCCACTTTACAGGATTTAAGGAGATGGATACTCAATTTATCATGATCATTCATTCATACAAGTATGAGCATGGCATGCAAAATATTTATTTCGCAAGATTTGCAGCTTTTATCCGGGGCACCTTATCCCCATAGTGACTAATCCATGAGTGCCAATAATAGGAAAAAATCAATAAATTTCAAATTTATATGTGAAGAACTTTATCACCTTTGTGTGATGATCATTGATCTAATTGTGTGTTCAAAATTCGATAAGGAGTTTATACCCTTCATGAAGCGTGAGTCTTACTAGTTTATCTCTTTTCCTACAGAAAAAAGTCAAAATGATCTCTGGAATATTTATGGGAGGTCGTTTTAGTCCCAAACTATATAATGTGTCCAATTCAATCCCCTCATTCCCAAATATAATCCAAAATAGTCCCTTCAATTTTTAAATCTAATATAAAATAAAACTAAAGAGAGACTATTTTGGATCCTATTTCAAGAGTCCATGGGGCTAAACTAAATGATACTAGCCTGGACAAAAGTGGTCATATACAAATAGACCAAAGACCATTCACTTTTTTTCTAGTATGCGTTCTTCTCATTTCTTACTTTTATTATATTATAGTGGGCAAGGGAGAAGTGTGATTCAGACCTATCGTGATTTTTTGTTTATTTTATGAGTACGAAAGCATAATCAATTATTTTGTTTCTATGATTTCTATTCCATCGGAGATCAAAATCCTTTCACTATAACTTAGGCCTCATTTCTTTTCCTACTATTCATTACTTATAAAAAAAATGTGAAAGGAAGTTCATCGCTTATAAAATAATTGTGAGAGGCGTCTTGCTTCGTAGAGAAAATTTCAAGTTGTAATTGCATCTCATCAAAATATCATAGAATTAAATATTTATTTCCATTAAAAATTCCCAACCCTAATGTTTACATCAATAAGTTATATCATAATAGAAAAGAAAGAAATCCGACATTTCAATTAAATGTGACGAACATTTAGAAGGAAATAGCAAACATTGTCAAAACATACCGTCGAGAAATCCCTCTGAGGAAGTACTCCAATGGCACTAAGGCGAGCAACAAATGGTTGTATAGCCTGTAAAAGCATGCCATAGATTCCAATAGCATCCTTGCCCATTGGGACCTAATGTTATTACTAAAAGAGTTACTATGACACTAGAAAAAGAAATATGAAGTTTTAAATGTAAAATTTAATTTGCAATTACCTCTATTAATTCAAGTTTCCTGCTGTGCACGTATGGACTTACATCAGAATCACTTTCATGACGATACTCAAGGGTTGAAATGCATAAGTTATCAATGACATTCTGAATTGTCTGATGTTTTGCTGAGCAACAAGATTTCAAAAAGAAATTCAGATTAAAAAAAAAGAACAAATAAAAATAGTATAATTCAGTAGCTTAAATACTGAGGGGCATTCCCATAAATACCACATAATTCTTATGTATTTACAATCTAACACCTAAACTTTCTTATTTACATACATAACACTGAAATTTTAAATATGATGTCAAATATACCATTATTACTAACTCTTTAAAGCAAAATACAAATTTTCATCCATGGGTTATGACACCAAAGTATTCTAAATATAACTATCAAACTTTTGTTACATATGTAAATAAATAAGAATTGTGGTATGCATGTAAATGCCCTAAATACTAAACGTACATCCTGGCGTTGCAGTCAAAGCTAAAATTCTTAGCAGCACGGGTATGGCCATTAACTACATCCACCAAAACAAAGAGCAGCTCGTTAAGTAGATCAGCCAGAGAAACTTATTAATTTGTAAAGAACTGAATTTATACATGCCTCTCGAACTGCAACGCAGTAAGAATAGTTTCCCATAGCTCGATGTGCTTCATCAAAAACAATACAGACAAGTTGTCTCACCAAGCATATGCCTGAGAAAATCATGAAGGTATAATTTCAGGTAATAAAGAGACAGATGAAAGAGGAAAACAGCAACACAAACTGAATAATTACAAAATAAAATCAGCAGTATTGCACTATTCCAGCTCAACCATTCCTAAAATTTACCTAGTTCAGGAGTACAAAAGGCTGTAAGGTCGACAAGCTACGCCACTATATTAAGAAAATACTAAAGAAACATGATATTACAAAAACATTCAGAGAGAAAGATAAAACATAATTTTTTTTAAGGAGAAAAAAAACCTATACATCACATGTAATTACAGAGATACTAAAATCAGATGATCAATTAGAATTTCAACTTCAAATAAAAGGATAATTAAAAGGTTTTTTTTATTGCAATAATTTGATTACATTATCCAGTTGGTGCACTCCAGATTAGCGATTTAGATCATCCAACCGATCATCCATTAAATTAATAACCAGTCACAAAAATGCCCTCTGCAATCAACAATGAAAAGTGGGGTTTGTAGTCTCTTCTCGAGAAAAAAAAAATAATAGACAAAATTTCGGATCAATATAAAATGTGTATTTACAATACATTTTTTACATGTCTGTCCACAAAACAAAACATTGTGCAGCACGTCAATTACGGGAAAAAGCCAGGGCTATATGCAAAGGCAATTACTCACTGAAGAATTAACTTGGGATTCAATGATGCTCGAACTTAATGGTCGCAAGATGAAACCACTCATTTATAGATCAAATCTTACATTAGAAAGCATTTATTAAAGCTATTCATAAAACACTTTTGAATTCTAACTCATGAAACGCTTTTTGTATAAAAATACAAGTACCCAAATTATCAAATTATCAAAAAATAAGGTGGTTATTAACAATACAAATTTGAGCCGAATTCAAAACTAGCTCAAGAGCAACTCAAATTCATTATATTTGATCATAAATCAATTCCAGTAATAATTTGGCTAAACATGATCTCAATTTGAGTTATGTATGAGGCATGATTTCAATTTGAACACGATCAAAGTCAAAATCTATTTTGATCTCAATTATTCTTCAATCTCCCATAGTCATATATATATATATATATATATATATATACTCTCAAAAAGTATATCAATTCAAGCATGTCTGCATGACACTCAAATGTATCACATCACAATAGCACTGTTACCTTTTTTTTTAAGTGAAATATACCTTTGTGTGCATAGATTTAAAACACCAAAATGCTATATATGTAAATATAAAAGCTCAGCTGTGAGATATGTAAATACATAAGAATTGTGTGCTAGATATGTAAATTTCCCAAGACAATAAACCACTTAGTATGACAAATATTTGCTGTTCAATGCGGGAAATTTCGTAGAAAATCATCAAAAATAGACAATGCACCAGATTGAATGTCCTTTTCAAAAACTTGTGGAGTGACAAAGAATACTCTCTTAGCTTTCCAAAATCTTGACCGCATTGGAGGACTCATCTGACCTGTCATATCAATTGTCCATTCCTGCAATCAGTTTGTAATATTTTTAACATGCTCAAGAAAATAAAGAAAAATATTTTTATACATCAAAGTTTGCACATTTAAATGTCAGATAAAAAAAAGATAATAATTAAATAATAAAATCAGCCAGATAAGCCCAACGGCTGCACTACCTGAGGGATCCCAACAATGTTGTGGCATGCTTCAATCTGCTGCATCACAAGAGGCCGCGAAGGAGCAGCAAATACAATTTTACCTGTCAATTTTTAATTTTTGGAGTAATCTACGAAAATTTTAATAAATGTATAAAAATTATTAATTTGTTCAAACTAAGAGAGCAAGGCCATTATTAAATGCATTGCCAATAAACCAATGACATTGGTAAATACTACATACATGCCATGAAAAAGTTGCATGAGAACAAATGTTTCTATGAAGTCCTTGTCATGAATTAGTGAATTTGAGGAAGTTCATCAAACAACAGAGGATGAATTAGTGAATTTGAGGAAGTTCATCAAACAACAGAGGAAGATTTACATACATACTGCTCAATTCATATGTATTTACATATCTAACACCTAAGCTTCAATTTTTACAAACAAGCTACCTTACTTTTGTTTAAAGACCTTCGTTTGAGTAGATCTAAAATTGAATGCATGGAATATAATTTTAATAGTAGTAGCTCTAGTGGCAGAGTTGTAACTATGGGTGATCAAATCATTAAAAGGTGTGAACGTTTTAGATATCTCGAGTCTATTTTTCAAAGTGATGGCGATATAGATGGGGATGTTATTAGTAGAATCCAAGTCGGTCGACCATCTGATGATCTTGTTAGGAGAGTAGATGTTTTACATTTAACTTATGTTAAGAAAGGCAAAGATAGACCTTAAAAGACTTGGGCATATTGTATAAAAAAAGATCTTAAGCTATTAAAATTAAATGAAAATTTGACACTCAACAGGACACAATGGATAAAGGTTTGTTGTTGTTGTTGTTATTGTTGTATGTCACCTTACCTTTATATGAAAAAATGTACTTCACATTTTAGAATCTAAAATAGTGGTATTTTTTATGTGATAAAAAAATTTAAGCGGTATAAATTTAGAAAGTAAAGTTTAGGTGTTAGATATGTAAATACATAGGAATTGAGTGATATGTATGTAAATTCCCCTACGAAAAAGTATAGCTCCTAAAACGATTCTCATAATCTTTTAGTTTAACGAAGTGATTTTAAATCATTTCAACGCTAGTTAATATTAACAATGTTATCCATGTATTTGATTTGCCAACTATTCCCCAATCATTCCTTAAATTTCGTGCTATTTGGGGTCCATAAAACCATTTTTTATTGAATGAATATCTCATGCTAATGCAATGTTATAAGCTTGTGTCCAAAAGCATTCTTCTCATTATGATTAATTTTTCATGGTATGTTCTAAAAAACATTCATGTTTGATTTGAACCAACATCTACAGATATGGATTTCACATTCTTCTAAGCATAACTTTAAACGGTGAGATTGTAAGCTAGGGAACAGCCAACTCTCAATTAAGGGTGCAAGTGAGCTAAACTTGAGCGAGCACAATGTTTGTTTGTGTTTAGCTCGTTTGTTTGTTTGTTTTTTTTTTTTTTTTTGTTTAAAATAAGCTCGTGTTATGGCTTGTAAATAACATGTTTTAAAAAAGCCATTTCGAACACGTTGAATAACATGTTCTTATTCGGCTCAAATTGAATTTGTTTGTTCATTTTAGCTTGTATTTCACTCAAAATAGCTAGAATGATTTAAAATTTATAAATTTAATATTTTCTAAAATACAATATAAAATATTATAATAATATTACTTATTTAAATATTTAACTTATTCAAGAAAAATGAGCCTAACACAATCATACAAAAGTTTGTTCGTGTTCAGCTTGTTTGTAAATCGAGCTAAAAAAAATGATCATATTTGACTCACTTGCCGAACTAACAAATCGAACACTAGATACTTAGTGAACCGAACATGATCTACTTGCGAACGACGAGCTTTTTTGAAAACCCTACTCCAGTATGACCACCAATCTTAACAAAAAAAAAATCAAAGCTATTATAAACAAAATAATCCCAATAAATAAATAATCACATTAATTGACCAAAGAAAAGCTGCCTTAAAGTAAATTATTTGAGGAAGTTAATGATTTCCAGATACCCAAAATTACATAGAAACATGGATTAAAATGTTATGTTGGATAAAGATTTACAAGGAAGTCGGAAAGAACTTGCCTTTAGGAAACCATCTAAAGTAGTTATACATTACAACAGCTGCAATGAGAGTCTTGCCAAGGCCAGTTGGCAACGCCACCAATGTATTTGAGAATAGAGCATTTTTAGCAATTGAGAATTGGTAATCACGAAGGGGGATATTAACTGCAAAATGGAGGATAAATAAATAAAGAAATAAACTGATTGATATATTGTAACAATATTCTCTTAAAGAGAGGAAACAATGTCTGAAATTTCAAATTTTGCATATACAACCATAGAAGAGTATTGAAAAATGAACACCCATGCAAAACTCACATTGCGCTCTAAAACTTTCATTTCATGAATTGCCGCTTCCAGAGAAGAAATTTGCCAATCAAAAAAAAGTCAGGTTAAGGCTGATGATGGTGAAAACAAAAACCTTGTGACTAATTTGGTGTTTTAAGTGCATTGATAAAGTGAAGAATTGTCAAATGTTTGAGCAGTTCTAAGAAGTTAAATTAAAATCATCGCTAGATGGTTGTTATGTTCAGATTTACTTGTCTTCTATAAAAATTGACAATGTCAAATTGCAACCATCCCCCCTTTGAACCTGGGGTTTAGGTGCATTAACAAGCATTGTATAATTAAATTGTTGACCGAGCTTGCTAATGAGCTTGCATTAGCAAGTAGCTCAACATCATAACAAATCTATTTCTTTAATGAGTTAGAAATAATAAAGATGCATGGCAAGCCAGGATCAAGTGTCATGTCATAACATTTTAGGTGAATTATCATTGCATTTCTTTTATTATTTCATATTTTGTCCCTTAATGTCTTAAGTTTGATTTTTATAAGCACTGTTATTGTTAGTCTATGCAAATTTAATTATTTAATATTGTACTATAGGATGCTCTGTTATACTAAGAAGTATAGGAGTCATGTAATAGTTAGACAATAAGGTTACGAGTCTCGAAACAAATTTGATAATTTGCATGACTTCATGAATATAGGTTGCGTGCCAAGTTTCTCATTCTCCTAGGCTATGTGCAAGGTTTCTTCTCCTTTCTATGTTTCGTTCTTCAGCAGTATATTCAAGTTTTGTGTGAATATTATACTATTGTCATACTATTAAGCCACATCAACTAGTTTCCCATTCTTAACTCATTGATCTACATCATTGATGAATCCACCTTCTTAATAGCTTATATGGCTCATAACTAATCATAAAATTAAACTCCCTAACCTAAAGCATGTTCAAAAATACCTAACTCAAACTACTTAGCAATGCCATCTCCAATTTGTGTTACCCAAGCTATACCCCTCCATGCCATGGAATATTTCATTGCACACACCCTCTATCTCAACTTCTACCCCTTGCCTTCTCTCTCTATCTTGCTCTATAACAAACTCCACTATACCCTTCAAAATTAAGGAATAATGCTAACTACCTTGCAATTTAAATTCAAAGCATTTTCAATATATATTCCCACTGAAAAAAAAATATTAACAAATAACCACATAATTAAATTTTCAAAAATTTATCTTGTAAATATTCTATTGCTAATAGAAATCGGAGATTCATGTAATAGTTAGAGTGTGGCATTATGATTACTGAAAAGAGTTTGATACTTTTCACAATTCCCTCAACCAACATTGAGTCTAAAATGCATCTACTTCTTAGGTCACAAATCAAATTTCTCCTTCTCTCTTCAATGTTCATCATTTTCTACTTGATCTAATCAAAACTTCTTCAAATGTTCCCATGTGACTCTATATGAAACCCCTTAAATAGAATGAAGTTGAAATCTCAAGCATCAGGGCGCCTTTAGGTGTAAAGATTGGAGTTTCGATCGAAACTCCGAGGTTAAGTGTGCTCGTGTTAGAACACTCTGGAAGGGGTGACCTCCTGGGAAGTTACACCAATGTGACAAAACCATGAATCCATTTGGCCAAAGTGGACAATGTCTCAATAGATGAGAGTCGATCTGTTACAAATGGTATAAGAGAATTTTACCAGTCTGAAAATAGAAATATATGCCTGATGGATGATTTTGGGTTAATAAAACTGATGAGGGAGTCAGCTACTTAGATGAGGGAGATTGTTAAACCCCATAAGTGGAATGAAGATGAAAGCTCAAACATCATGGCGTCTTTAAGTGTAAAATTAGTAGTTTCAATTGAAACTCCGAAATTAAGAATGCTCTTGTTAGAGCACTTTTGGGATAGGTGAACTCCTGATAAGTTACACCAATAGGGCAAAACCGTGAAGTCATTTGGCCAAAGCGGACAATATCTCGATGGGTGAGAGTTTGGGTTATTACACTCTACATCAAGCTAAGCAAACTGACATTCGAAGGCTTCATGAACTTTTCCCTTGTTACGTAACCTCTCTTGAGAAAATTGTCAGGGTGACACTACAAAAAGCTAGAGAAACATTAAAGGCAAATTATAACAAATTAAACTTCTTACTATGCATCTCCTTCTAGCGATTCTAGAGCATAAACAATCTATAGCCTACAAAAAATGAAACTTTTGGTGAAGAAAATGGCATTTCTCAAGAGAAATCTCTATTAGCACATTATATGCCGTCTTATTCTATCCTATTACAAAACAATGCAGAAATCTCACTCAGCACTCTGGCTGTGATTAATCTTCCAATGCGTCAACAAATCCAATTCGAGTAAAATTTTAAACCGGCAGAAGTTTTCAGAGAAAAAGCAACACACAAAAACTTAATTTTTATATTACATTATCAATCAACTTCTTATAACTCCCTACATCGCACGTAAGTGCTGCCACACAAATTTTGATAAAGAGACATCTTAAGTGGTTCTACACAACCAGCTTGCGCTCTTTAAGATTTATCTTTCCTATCCAAGGTTAGGCTCCAGGGCATTGCGCTAAATTTGAAAAACAAGAGGGAAAAAGCATGCCTGGATAAACCCAGGTTTTGGCGGCTTCAAGATCAATACTAACTGCCGGAGCTCCATCTCCCACCTCTGAAACATCGTCTCTTACGCAACTCGCCTCTGCCGCATTCTCCTGCAAGCAAAACTGACTCTTTTCTTTCTCAAAACTATCCACGTATCTATCGAGAGTGGACTGCCGTGCCCTGCCTAGGTGCACCGCCGGCCTAGGGCAAGCTCCGCTCCCCGATTCCACAAAAGCAGGTGCCCCAATAGATGGCGGAATTGAAGCGATCCCCCCGTCATTAATGGTAGGAGAAAAGGTTGATTGGCAGGCAATGTCAACCTCACGAACGGCCGCCTCCCAGTCGAAATCCTGCGGTAAATATAAAGAAACGACGGAGTGCAATGTAAGCAAAACTAGGGTTTTTTGCATGAAAGAGTGAAGAGAACCGGAGAAATGAGAGAGAGAGAAGGAAGGGATTCACATCTTCGTCTAGACGTAGAGATGGTGAAGCCATCTACATCGCCTCCTCTATGATTCCAATTGCATGAAGGAAACTCGGGATTGTTTTCAGTGTTTTGGCGCGCAAAAGCTCTGTTGTCGCCATAGACGGCGATTGTCCGATATGGCACTAATCGGACGATAATAAATATCAGAATCACGGTCCAGAAAACCCGATAGAGCCGACCGGTTCCACTGGTTTAGTTAATCTTTCTTAGATTGAATTTTCGGTGTTAGTGTGCTAGTTATTTAAATAACAATTGAGTGGGATAGTTATTTAAAGAATAATTGAGTTGGGTGTAAATTTTATGTATTGTCATTTTTAAATATAATAATGATTTATTAGATCAACAGGTTGATTCAATCGTCGAACCTTGAACTTCTCTTTATATCGATTCAATGAGAGGCCTGATTTTCACAAATTTGATCATAATATATTTATTTATTTTATGATTAATATCATTCCGGAAAATTTTATTTTCAATTTAATAAATTTTGACCACATTTAAAAACAACTTATATTTGATGCCTCGTTGAAAAGAAAATTTTTCATGAAGCATGAATTTCAATACTTTTTTAATAATAAATATGTTGAATCTAAACTCAAGATTATTTAGGACCCATATCTCATCAAGTTTATAATCAAACTGACATTCCCTATAAGACGAACCCAATAATGCAACAGTTTGTTCAATATGAATTAAGTCAAGTCTAAATTTAGTCATTGAAATATATTTGGAGGCTTCTGAATCGTCTATTTAATGGTCAAAAGAGCTTTAAATTAAATATTTTTATAATCAAATCAAGCGTCTCGAAGAAAAAAATTCAGCCAGCTCAAGATCGCTCAATCTTTTAGGTCATTAATACACTTACATCATAAAAAATCTTGTGTGTTCGGGAGCGATCATTATGATATGTCCGAGGTGGTTAGGGGCTAACTAGATCACTTCTCTTCGCATAAGGAAAAAAGAGGTCAGAAGAATGAGTGAAAATTTCAAAGCTTGTTTTGATATGAAAACTAAAGATAACTACTAGCATTCACAGTCGTCGACTATCATCAACCACCATCCGTTACCCCGACTGTCGCCGCCTACCCCTGTTTGTCAATGTCGTATTTGAAATATGATTGTAAAGTGTTATACCCTTCATTAAAGATCTTGTGATAAAATCAGGCCTCCGTAGCTGGCAATCACCATCAACACATGTCGTCGCCTGCCGCTGGGCACCAGCAACCACTATTTACGACTGTCGTGATCAAAATATAGTGATTTTTCGTAACACCAATATTTTTTTGCACCTTTTATACCAACAAGTAATGTATCATGTATAAAATGATAACTTAGCTCTTTCGACTATGAGAAAATGATAAACATTTGGAGTTACACATTTAAAGTTTTTATTCTAACTGGGTCAAACATCGTATTTTTTTTTCCAAAGTTTTTTAAAGTAAAAAATATTAATATCTCCTCCTACTATTTTTTTATTACTTGTGAGTATAGTGGATCTTCATGCAACATCATGATATTAGATTATTACCCTACCATCATCAAACTTTCGTCATACAACAATATCAATTTTAGATTTATAGCTCATTACAAAGCGGAAGTTTGCACATTTCATCATAACTATATTTAAAAGATCTTATATTGATATTATATCGCAAAATAATTATATATTTACATATTATAGGATCTAAGAGTAAATATATTTACAGCATTTCTACAAAGAAAAAATTAAACATTAACTTTCCGTTCATTTAATGAGGCTCACAATCTTTAGATTTGGACCTCAACAAATATGTTGTGATAATTATAATATTGTTTAATGTAAGAGGCGGGCCTTTGATTTTGTAATAAACATTAACTTTCCGTTCATTTAATGAGGCTCACGATTATTAGATTTGGGACCTCAAAAAATATGTTGTGAATTGTGATAATTATAATATTGTTTAATGTAGAGCGCGCCTTTGATTTTGTAATCGTCTGTCAATTAATTATTTATTATCACCGTGTTGAGCCTTCATATAAATTATTGATTAGTTTTATTTAATACGTTTAAATACTATTAATTAATGTAATTAATATGTTATCGTAATATCAGCAATTCATTTTATTTTATATCATATTATTTGTCCTTATGATTGTCAGCTATTTTATCTAAACAAAAAAATTATTTGAGCTCATTCCCCTCTTATGTATGAGGTTTTTGATTTAAACTTGTTCTTACATTGTTAAGAGTTTGTTTGAGACAGTTACAACACATTAAAAAATAGTTGTGTAGCTGCTGAAAAATAATCTGAGATATATATATATATATATATTAAGTCAGACCGCAACAAGAAAGTGCTACAACACATAGCCACAACGGGTGAGAAAACGCAGATTTCAGTAGTAATTTTTTGAAAAAATTATCAAAACGCAGTTTACTCAAACAAACAAAACTTTCGCCCCAAACAGACCCTAATTCACCCATCAAAATTTAAATAACATGTAAATTAATTCAAATAGTATATTTCATCCAATATTTTCCATATTAGATCATGGTTTGAAGCTTCCATACATACACTTTCAATATTTGAGCAAGCTATATTATAGCAAACTATAATATAACAAAGTACAATCACAATAACTATAACACAATATAGTGTAAATTTAATAATAATAATAATAATAATAAAATGCAATGATATATAA